TTCCCAGCGGAGAGGTGACGGTGGTTTTCCTTGCTGCATCCTCTTTGCCGGGTTGCTGCGCTGTGGGAACCACCGCTTGAGCTTCGTTGCTGCTGGCTGGGCTTTGGAAGGGGCTCGGAGGGGCTCAGAAGTTGAACATACCTGTGTTCGGAAAATCCCTTATTTTCGAGGCTGCTGATCCCTTATTTTCAAATCTGTAAGTTGACAGCTATGGATGGGAGTCTCTTGGCGATCAAGCATCCTCTGTCGGTATTGTGTACTGGTTAGAGTGCTGGACTAGGACATGGGAGAGACCTGGGTTCGAATCCCCGCTTGGCCCTGAAGCTCCCTGGGTATGACTTCTCAGCCTGGCCTACCTCCCAGGGTTGTTGGGAGGGTGAAATGGAGAATTGGAGAAGTGTGCTCACGCCATCTTGAGCCCCTTGGAGAAAAGGAGGAATATAAATGAAACGATAAATAAATAAGCAGGTGTAATGATACAATTTGTTTAATATATATTTTTTACATAAACCGGGTTGAGGTTCCTTGTGACCAAAAGCGGCATATAAACATGTGAAAGGAAATAAAATATCTGTCAGGCGCTGCACAGGATTTTAAAGAAAAGTCTCAGCAGAATCTCACAACTTAATTTCCCTGAAGCCAGAGCCAGCATGAGCTATCACTGGGAGAAGCTGCAATGGAGCAGGGGTCAGCAAACATTTTCAGCAGGGGGCCGGTTCACTGTCCCTCAGACCTTGTGGGGGGCCGGATTATATATTTTTTGGGGGGTGAACGAATTCCTATGCCCCACAAATAACCCAGAGATGCATTTTAAATAAAAGGACACATTCTACTCATGTAAAAACACGCTGATTCCCGGACTGTCTGTGGGCCGGATTGAGAAGGCGATTGGGCCGGATCCGGCCCCCGGGCCTTCGTTTGCCTACCCATGTGCTAGTCCATAAAAAGTACAGTCATACCTCGGGTTGAAGTCGCTTCAGGTTGAGGGTTTTCAGGTTATGCTCTGCAGCGACCTGGAAGTAACGGAACGCGTTGCTTCTGGGTTTCGCCGCTCACGCATGCGCAGACGCTCAAAATGACGTCATGCACACGCGCAGAAGTGGCGAATCGCGACCTGCACACGCAGGTTGCGTTTGCTTCAGGATGCGAAGGGGGCTCCAGAACGGATCCCATTCACAACCAGAGGTACCACTGTACTTAGCAGGCATGCATACAGGTATCTGTTTTTATTTTTTTTTATTCTATGCATTCATTTATATCCCACTTTTTCTCCAAAGAGCGCATGGGTAGACCCGGGGGTGACATGCTACTCCCCCCCCCTCTTTTCACTGCTTTCTCCTCACAGCAACCCTCTGAGGAAAGTTAGGCTGAGATAGCTCCTAGGTCACCTTCAGCGAGCTTCATGGGAGTGAGGCATGGGAGTAGCGGGGGGGGGGCAGCTGCCCCCCATCAATAAAAATCCATAGCAAACTGAGGTTCTGCCTCCCCCCCCCCCATAACAAAAGGCCTGCCTCCCCCCCAACAAAAATCATGGCTATGCACATGGCCACTGAAGGGAAATTATTTGAACCCAGGACACTCTACCCCAAACCTTATTTTTTGTGATTGTAGCTTTTTTTAAAAAAACAAACAAACCCCCCTTTAAAAAAAAAGTTGTGCTTTAATTGTTGCAACCCACCCGTGAGACTTAAGAGCGAAGGAAGAGTAATTAATACTACTAATAGTTAATTAACAGTTCTACTAATAATAAAATACAAAAGTAATACTAATACTACATCTACTTGGCTCTTCAAACGTGAGTTCCCTCTGCGTGGCAAAAAGCAACCTATTTATCTATTTTAATTTAATTTATGCTGCTCTTGCACATACAACTCACCCACCCAGAAGTGAAGTTATTCACGTTACTAACTAAAGAAAGGAAGGGGATCTTTTCTCAAGACCGATCAATAGGTCCAAATAAATTTTCCAGATGCGCCATAAATCAATAAAAAATGGTGACGTTATGAAAAGCGAATTACACTTCTATTTGGGAGCTAAGAGCCCCATTCGGATCCTCATCCCCACGACCCTCTCTCGTCCTGCGCGTCGCGGGTGGGGAAAAAACCGAAAGGGACACGCGGCGCGTGCGGATGCGCGCTTGATTGACGCGGCAGGCTACTCATTCATTCTTATGTAACTTTCACTCACGCCGCGGGTGCCGAGAACCGCCAGCGGGCTCCCCATTGGCCCGTCTCCGCCGGATGGAACGCCGCGCCATTGGCCGGCGCCTGGGTGTGGGCGTGGCCCGGGGACCCATTCAAGGCCCGGCCGCCGCCTCCTTACTCCTGCTCAGACACGTGTGCGGCCCGGAGGGGAGGGAGCGGGAGGCGTCGGCGGGCCGCTGCCTTGTTTACCTAAAAGTGGAAGGAAGATCACTGCAAAGAGAGCGAGAGAGCAGGGAGAGGAGTTTGCCCTCCCAGAACATTCCTGCCCATCCAGATTCCTCAAAGCAGACTGCCTTTCAGCACCCATAGGTGCAGCTGCGGTGGGGCCGGATGACAGAGTGGGGCTGGGGCAGGGGGCATGACCTGTGGTGCCCTATTATTTCTCTGTCTGTTTGTTTATTTTTAATTACCCACCCTAAGGTCCCAGGCTCCTTCATGGATCACTGCCTTGCCGTGGCGAAAGGGCTTGAATAACTCAGAGAAGCTATGAACTATACCGTGCAGGGCCACCCAAGATGAACAGGTCATAGTGGAGAGTTTTGACCAAACGTGATCCACCTGGAGCAGGAACCGGCAAGCCACTCCAGTATCGTAAAAAAGATTTTTAAGACAGCATCTTAAAAAGCAGAGACCTCACCTTGCCAACAAAGGTCCGTATAGTTAAAGTTCTGGTTTTCCCAGTAGTGATGTATGGAAGTGAGAGCTGGACCATAAAGAAGGCTGATCGCTGAAGAATGGATGCTTTTGAATTCTGGTGCTGGAGGAGACTCTGGAGAGTCCCATGGACTGCAAGAAAATCAAACCGATCCATTCTTAAGGAAATCAGCCCTGAGTGCTCACTGGATGGACAGATCCTGAAGGTGAGGCTCCAAGACTTTGGCCACCTGATGAGAAGAGAAGACTCCCTGGAAAGACCCTGATGTTGGGGAAGATGGAGGGCACAAGGAGAAGGGGACGACAGAGGATGAGATGGTTGGATAGTGTTCTCGAAGCTACCAGCATGAGTTTGACCAAACTGCGGGAGGCAGTGGAAGACAGGAGGGCCTGGCGTGCTCTGGTCCAGGGGGTCACGAAGAGTCGGACATGACTAAATGACTGAACAACAACAACAACAACAACAAAAGGTCCCAGGGCAGGTTGCAGTTTTAAACCACAGTATTTAGAACAATTAAAAACAACTTAGTTTAAATCATGCACTAACCATTGGTCATGCTGGCCGCTGAGTGTTGCCGGGTATCCCAGGATCATTCCTCTCCAAGTAGGGCTGGGAGTGACTGTTCCTGAGACCCTGGACAGGCACTTCCAGTGAAAACCCCGGAGAGCTGCTGTCAGTTATGGAAACGTGATTATAGAGTTGGAAGGGACACCTGGGGGTCATCTAGTCCAACCCCCTTTGATGCAGGAATCTCAGCTAGATCATACATAACAGATGGCCAGCCATCCTCTGCTTAAAAACCTCCAAGGAAGGAGTATCCAACATCTCCGGTGGGAGTCTGTTTCACTGTTGAACAGCTCCTACGATCAGAAAATTCTTCTCGATGTTTAGTCAGAATCTCCTTCCTTCTAATTTGAAGCCACTGCTTTGAGTCCATCCTCCATGCAGACAGCCCTTCAGATATTTGAAGATGACTACTGTATCTCCTCTTGTTCTCCTCTTTTACAGGCTAAACCAGGCTTCCTCAACCTCGGCCCTCCAGATATTTTTGGCCTACAATTCCCATGTTCCCTAGCTAGCAGGACCAGTGGTCAGGGATGATGGGAACTATAGTCTCAAAACATCTGGACGGCCGAGGTTGAGGAAGCCTGGGCTGAACAGACCCAATTCCCTCAACCGTTCCTCATAAGGCTTGGTTTCTAGACCCTTGATCATCTTGGTTGCACACATTCCAGCTTGTCAACATCCTTCTTAAATTGCGGTGCCCAGAATTGGACACAGTATTCCAGGTGTGGTCTGACCAAGGCAGAATAGAGTGGTGCTATTACTTCCCTTGATCTGGACACTAGACTTCTGTTGATGCAGCCTAGAATAACATTAGCCTTTTTTGCTGCTGCATCACATTGTTGACTCATGTTAAGCTTGTGGTCTACAAAGACCTCTGCATCCTTTTTGCATGTACTACTGGTAAGCCATGTACTACTGGGACGCGGGTGGCGCTGTGGCTTAAATCACAGAGCCTAGGACTTGCCGATCAGAAGGTTGGCGGTTCGAATCCCCGCGACGGGGTGAGTTCCCGTTACTCAGTCCCTGCTCCTGCCCACCTAGCAGTTCGAAAGCATGTGAAAGTGCAAGTAGATAAATAGGTACTGCTCCGGCGGGAAGGTAAATGGCATTTCCATGCGCTGCTCTAGTTCTCCAGAAGCGGCTTAGTCATGCTGGCCGCATGACCCGGAAGCTGTACGCCGGCTTCCTCGGCCAATAAAGCGAGATGAGCACCTCTACCCCAGAGTCGGCCACGACTGGACCAAATGGTCAGGGGTCCCTTTACCTTAACTTTTACTGGTAAGCCAGGTGTGTCTCTCATAATTGTGCAGCTGGTTCTTCCTGCCTAAGTGCAGAACCTATTGAACTTCCTTTTCATAGTTTGGGCCCAGTTCTCCTATCTGTTCAGGTCATTTTGAATCCCAATTCTGTCTTCTGTAACATTAGCTATTCCTCCCTGCTTGGAGTCACCTGCAGATTGAATGAGCATCCGCTCAGTACCTCATTTCTGAGCTAGATTCAGTTTAAGGCACCATCCCATCTTCCTGTCCCTGAACCATGAGGACTGGAATCTTATTTTTATTTTTAAGGGAAGAGTTGTGGCTCAGTGGCAGAACACCTGCTTTGCATGCAGAAGGTCCCTGGTTCAATCCGTGATAGAGACGGGGGCGGCTCCCCGCCTGAAACCCTGGACAGCTGCTGCCAGTCAGTGTGGACAATACTGAGGTAGATGCACTCAGCAGCCTGACTCTTTGAATTGACCCTTCATTCAGAACCACAAAGAGCAAGGTTTCTATTTTAAAGAACACCCTCTTTTCTCACTTCTACGAAGACCGGGCAAGACTGTACCTTAGTTACGTTGCATGCAAAAGGTCCCAGCTCCTGGAACACCAGGAGACCTGCTGCCAGCCAGTGTCAGCAACATAGCTGTCAACCGTCCCTTATTTGGCGGGAAACTACCTTATCCCAGCGCCGTGTCCTGCTGCTGTCCCGGATTGATGATGTCCCTTAAATTTCCCGGGTTTCATGCTCGCCCGGCTCGAGAGGGAAGCAGCAGCTCAGGGTCCTCCGCCGCGAGAGAGCGTGCGCACAAGCTGCCACGTCTCCGTCTCTCCCTTTTCCCCCGCAGGGGCACGTCGTGAGGAGGCGGGTGGCAGCGGGTGGGCAAGCAGCCCCTCTCTTGCGAGACTTCCGCCGCGCTGCCAGGGGAAGCCGGAGGCAGCAGCGGCTGAGGAGGCAGCCTGAGGGAGGAGGAAGAGGAGGAGATGGGGATGGACGCAGAAGGGCGGCGCTTGAGCGGCCGCGGCACCGCCGCCACAAGCGCCTCATGCCGGGCTTGCAGGCAGCGTGGGCGAGAGTCTCTCTCCCCCCCCCCTTGGGCAGGGAAGGGCCGATGGAACTCGTTGCGCCAGGACGATGGCAGCCCCGACGTGCTGCTTAGCATCCCCTCCAACCAGTGCCGCATCTTCATGTAGTGATTTCCCCCTCTGCATCCCTTTCATAACTCTATTTTTATAAATCATTTGTCCATCCATAGTTCAATTTTTTACATGTTTTTTGTCAATCCTACCAACGTATGTAACTCTTCACAATAGCTTTTCAACTAAATTATAAACTTTCCCCATTCTTTATGAAAGAGGTCCTCTTCCTGGTTTCTAATTCTGCCTGTAAGCTTTGCCATCTCGACGTTGTTCATCAGTTTTGTCTGCCCCTCTTCTTTGGTGGGAGTTGTAGACCCTTAGGATCATCTAGTCCAACCCCCTGCAAAAAAACACAGTCAGTGGCAGCCAAAGCAGCCTGGCTCCATCAGTGCCGGATTTCTGTATGAGCTAAGCAAAATCCCTTATTTTGGCTGCTGATCCCTTATTTTCAAGGCTACTGGTCCCTTATTTTCAAATCTGTAAGTTGACAGCTATGGTCAGCAATAGTTAGCTGGATGAACCGAAAGTCTGACTCAGTGCAACTCCTGTGTAGTGTGGCGTTGCTTGTTTTTAATGCAAAGGGGTGTTCAAAGGCTTGACCCGCCCTTGCAGCCTGAAATGGTTTGCTTTGCTAATACAACCCGGGTCTTTGCCATCTTCCCGCCTCATTTTGTTATGTAAATAGTTCAACCTGTGTGCGGCTGTTGGCGGAAGACAGGGCTCATCCAGAACCTGTTTCCGCTGCCAGGGTGTGGGCTGTCATCGCTTGGAACACCTTAAAAAACTGCTTCTGAACGTTCTCTGTAAGCAACTTTCTCCCTCTTGCATGAAGTGCAACCTGAACTGCACCTGTTGAATTTCTTCCTCACATGCAGCAGCAAAACGGACTTGCCTTGCTGCCTTCCCCACACCACCGCAATGGCAAGGGTCAAAAAAATCGCAACTTTTCTTCTGGTGGCATCTGAGATCTTTGCCCAAAGCTTCTCCAGTTGAAACTGCTTGGTAGTCTCAGCAAAGGAAAAACGGATACAGAAACTTACGGAATATGCAGAAACGCAAAACTTACCGGAAGAATAAGAAATCAACATAACGATTTTTTAAAATATATATAAAGGAATGGAAATGGTTTATTGAATATTTACGGATAAATTGTAAACAGATAACGACATTGGCATGATTATTGTAATAACCTGCAGTTTCGTAAGAGTATATATTTAAAGAAGATGAATAAATGAGCAAATTGAGTTAATTTGGCTATGCAGAAGATATTAAGAATAAATTTAAGGAACCGCAGAAAGAGGGGGAAGGAAGTCAAGTTTTGAAATGTCAAAATGATTGCAACATTAGTGAAATGTATAAACTTGAAAAGTATAAATAAATAAATTAAAAATTAAAAGAACCTGCTTGGAATGCCAGCTAATTCAGTCACCAAAATATCTCTCTCTCTCCCTTGGGGAGAAAAGTAGCAATCTAATTGCCTCTCCTATTAGAGTTCTCTGGGCAGGACTTGACAATGTCATCCTATGTATGCCTGCTCATCAGTAAACTTTCTTTTTTCCTAATGGAGCTTACTCCTAGGTAAAGGGTGCAGCCCAGATCCCTGGTCCCCAAACTCCACCCCCCCAGACCATCTTAAAATTGCTGAAAGTCCTGGCGGGCCGCTTAAATGATTTTTCTGCCTGCTGTAGATGAAGATGTACCAGACTTGCGTGTGGAGCACACTGCTTTACGGAAGCAAGTTATGAGCAACTTACAACCAGTGGTACCTCTGGATACGAACGGGATCTGTTCCAGAGACCCATTCGCATCCTGAAGTAAACATAAGACGCGACTGCGGGTCGTATCTCGCCACTTCCACGCATGCACGTGATGTCATTTTGAGCATCTGCGCATGCGTGAGTGGCAAAACCCGGAAGTAATGCGCTCTGTTACTTCCAGGTCGCCGCGGAGCGCAACCCGAAAATACTTAACTTGAAGCTACTTCAACCCGAGGTATGACTGTACAGTGGTACCTCTGGTTACATACTTAATTTGTTCTGGAGGTATTTGCTGCCGCCGTGCCCTTCCTTCACGATGTGATTCCTTCCCTGCCCTGTCTCCAATCACACACACACACACACACACACACACACAGACACAAACCCTGTCCTAGAAGACTCTCGTGCTTGGCATAGCCACCCGAGCGAGACAATCACGCCTTGCCTCCCTCCGGAATCCATCCAACCTGCCTGGTGGTCTTCAATCTGTAGCAAGGCATCCGGGGCAGACGAGGCCCCACCACAAGTCATGGTGAGGCTGTGGGTTTGGGGTACCACCATTAAAGGCAAGACAGGGGAAGATGCAGTGGTGATTCCCATAGGGAACATATCTACTGGGAGGTTCTCCTGTGGAAACCTCACTAAGGACGTAAGATCTCTGGCCCTTGTTTTTCCCGATGCATAGGTGGCCACCCTATCATTCAGTTAGCACCAGGTGCAAGGGCTGCTATAAACTACTGTGCTGCCGAAGAAACAGCTGCATCATTGGCTAAATAAGTACCGTATCAACCTGGAAAAACAGTGACCATTGTGCTAGGGAACTTGTTCTCTTATACAGTGGTACCTCGGGTTAAGTACTTAATTCGTTCCGGAGGTCCTTACTTAACCTGAAACTGTTCTTAACCTGAAGCACCACTTTAGCTAATGGGGCCTCCCGCTGCCGCCGGAGCGCGATTTCTGCTCTCATCTTGAAGCAAAGTTCTTAACCCGAGGTACTATTTCTGGGTTAGCGGAGTCTGTAACCTGAAGCGTCTGTAACCCGAGGTACCACTGTAGTATTAATCAGGCTATGGCCATGTCCTTCCTCCCTCGTCAGAGGCAGTGCGTTTGACAATAACACTTGCAATTGGTTGAGTGTGTTGTTGCACTCCTGCCCTGCTTAGGGCTCCTCACTGAAGCATCCGATGAGCCACTTTGAGAACAGGATACTGCACTAGGCGAGCCGGATCCTGCCTGACTCATCTTACATTGCTCCAGTCACCAGTCTCCAAGGAAGGGGTCAGCAAACTGTTGCCGGTCTGTTGCCATTGCTCTGGTGGCCAACAGCCAGAGCCTGTCAACACAGCTGCCAAACTTAGCAGCAGTTTTTTGTTTTTGGAAGGGGGAAAAATTATCTCCCTCGATGGCGCGATGCTGCTGCTGACTCACCGCTCTGTTCCAGGCAGCTGGCTTGGGAGAGGCTGATGTCGAACAGGAACGCAGTGTTCCCTGCGCTCAGGGCAGGAATATCTCCCCCCGCTCTCTTAAAACAGAAAGGGCCATTAAACTTTACGACCTGCCTGTTATGTAACAAATTCCAGAGTTTGAATGGAGAAGTGTTATTGGAACGGCTAATCGGCGGAATTTGCGGTGTGGCGCATTGCGAGCCTCTTGAGGGCTCGGCAAAGCCACATCTTGGTGTGCGACCTTGCAAGGGGTGGGAAATCAAAGCTTTCCCTTGCCCCCTTGGACTCAGCGAGTGTTGCTGCAACAGAATGTTGTTGGTTTATTCATGCCACCTTCCTCCCCCCCGACAGGAACTCAAGGCAGCTTTCAAATAAATGAAGAATAAAGATAAAGGCAAAGGGACCCCTGACCGTTAGGTCCAGTCGTGGCCGACTCTGGGGTTGTGGCACTCATCTCGCTTTACTGGCCGAGGGAGCCGGCGTACAGCTTCCGGGTCATGTGGCCAGCATGACTAAGCCGCTTCTGGCGAATCAGAGCAGCGCACGGAAACGCCGTTTACCTTCCTGCCAGAGCGGTACCTATTTATCTACTTGCACTTTGACGTGCTTTCGAACTGCTAGGTTGGCAGGAGCAGGGACCGAGCAACGGGAGCTCACCCTGTCGCGGGGATTCAAACCGCCGACCTTCTGATCAGCAAGTCCTAGGCTCTGTGGTTTAACCTACAGCGCCACCCGCGTCCCTTTAGCTGAATTATTATTATTATTATTTTATTTATACCCCACCCATCGAGCTGGGCTTCCCCAGTCACTCGGGGGGCCTTCCAACCAAATATTAAAAACAATACAGCGTCAGACATTAAAACTTCCCTAAACAGGGCCACCTTTATGTGTCTTTTAAAAGTAAAGTAGTTGTTTATTGCCTTGTCATCTGGTGGGAGGGCGTTCCACAGGGCAGGTGCCACCACCAAGAAGGCCCTCTGCCTGGTTCCCTGTAACCTCACTTCTCGCAGGGAGGGAACCGCCAGAAGGCCCTCGGTGCTGG